CTCGTTGGCCATTCATATGCCTCCTGTTGTGAAGTGTCTGTTCCCACTTGCTGCCCGTTTTTAAACTGGGTTGTCACTGTTGGCTTGGTAGCAAGGCCTTCAGAGAGGCCTCTGGAGCCTCACTCCTGGATTCCAGCTTGCGGCCCTGGGGCAGGGGCCAGAACTGACTGCCTCCATCATGGGGCCTTGTTCCTTGGAGGATGCTTCCTGGGTTAGAACTCGGGCTCGAGGTCTGTTTACCCTGCTGGTACTTTCCAGGGTCAGTTTCTCATCCTCCGTCCTCAGTCATTTTGGAGGAAAAGCAAAGCCAGGGTTTCCTGCGTGAGTTTGAGTTTCAGCGGGCCTGACAGTGGTTTGCATTGCTTGGAGTTTGTCGAGTGTCTCGAATCCAAACATTATTTTTTATCAAGTTTGGGTTTTTTCCCCCCGTTATTTCTTAAAATGTTCTGGTGGTTTGTTTGGGGTGTGCATGTGTTGGCCTGGGTCATTCCCTGCTCTCCACAAGACTCCAGTTCAGTGCGTGTCAGGCCTTTGGATCCTGCTTGTGGTTGCTGACATGCCCTTCATCTTTGGAAAAAAGCTGTATCTGTTTGGCTGTGCTGGCTCTTAGATGCAGCATGCGGAATCTTCAGTTGTGGGCATGTGAACTCTTGGTTGTGGCATGGGGCGTCTGGATCCCTGACCAGGGATCGAACCCAGGCCTTTCCACCTCAGCCCTCTTTCTAGCAGCCGTGTCTCCAGGGAGGTGTCCGGAGCTCAGGCGTGCCCCTGGGGTTGCTGGCCTCTGTTTCCTGGTCCCTCCCCCTACACAGGGCTTTGTGGCACCTTCTGTGCCCAAAGACCCGCCCAAGCAGGGCCCTGCTCTCCTGTCCCGCTCCTGCCCTGCCAGGAGGCTCCGTGTTGGGATAAAGCCCTCCAGAGGGTCCTTCCTCCTGCCTTCTGCTGGCCGAGGCCAAGAGAGAAGCCTGCTCCCTTCCGGAGAGGAAAGGTGTGGGGGTTCGGGGATGAAAGAGCCGCATGCCTGGATGCCTCCTGCCCGGCTGGGTGGGAGGGCTGAGCCGTCCGTCCTTCCTGCCCTCCCCCGGCCGGCCCTGTGGTCTGAGCCGCCGCACTCCATAGGCCCCTGAGGCTTCCCCCGCCCTGGAGTCTTCCCACACCTGCACTGGACTGGCAGAGTCCCGTCCAGGAGTGATTCGCGCAGCTCAGTGGGCGTGGGTCCCGGGGACCCCTGCTCACAAGTCCAGGAAGCTCAGGATGTCAACGCCCCCTGCCCCTGCCAGACCCAGCCTCCAAAGCTGCCGCCAGCGTCCACTGCAGTGCTCCGGGTGCCTGACTCTGGCCCGGCCGCCTTGGCAACGGGCATCTTCAGGTGGGGCCACGTGGGGCAGGGTTGGGGTCTGTCAGGCCTCCCAGTGTCCTCTCCTGAAAACAAAATCTTTCAAAATCGTAACAGGTAGAATGAATATAGATGCTGAGAAGAACATTCCTGTTTAAGACCCCACTGGCACTCTGGGGCAACCGGATGTCTTTTCTACCTACTGTCCTCAAGCCTCTTCATACTGTTCAAGGGGACGGCAGAGGATGGGATGGCTGGATGGCATCACCGACACCATGGACATGAGTTTGAGTAAGCTCCGGGAGTTGGTGATGGACAGGGAGGCCTGGTGTGATGCAGTTCATGGGGTCTCAAAGAGTGAGACACGACTGAGTAACTGAACTGAACCGTCCCCAAGCAGCTTACTTAGTTTTTAAAAAATTGCAGTATAGTGTAGAGTGTTTCAGGTGGGCAGCAACATGACTCAGTTATATATTTATGCTTTCCGTTTTTTTCATTGTAGGTTATTATAAGGTATTGAATATAGCTTCCTGTGCTATACTGTAGGTCCTAGTTATTATCTGTCTAATATATGCAGCTAAGTCGCTTCAGTCGTGTCTGACTCTTTGTGACCCCATGGACTGTAGCCCACCAGACTCCCCTGTCCATGGGATTCTCCAGGCAAGAACACTGGAGTGGGTTGCCTTGCCCTCCTCCAGGGGATCTTCCCGACCCAGGGATCAAACCCATGTCTCTAATATATAGTTGTTGGAGAAGGAAATGGCAACCCAATCCAGTGTTCTTGCCCAGAATTCTCCATGGACGTAGGAGACTGGCAGATACGGACCATGGAGTCACAGAGAATTGGATACGACTTAGCCTCTGAGCAGCAGCATGTATTGCTGAGTGTATGTTTTAATCCCAAACTGCTCAATTCTGTACCCTGCTTTCCCCTTCGGTTACCACAAGTTTGTTTTCTATGCCTGTGAGTCTGTTTCTCTTTTGTAAATAAGTTCATTTATTTCTTTTAGATTCCACAAGAGATATCATCTGATATTTATCTTTTTCTTACTTCACTTAGTATGATAATCCCTAGGTCCATCCATCTGGCTGCCAATGACATTATGTCGTTCTTTTTAATGGCTAAATAAATATTCCACTGTATGTGTGTACATCTTGTTTATCCACTCATCTGTGGATGGACACTTAGATTGCCTCCGTGTGCTGGCTACCGTAAACAGTGAGGCAGTGAACACTGGGCTGCGTCTAGCTTTTCAAGTTAGAGTTTCCTCTGGATATACACCCCTGTGCTCTGACCGTGGGCCGTGGGCTCCAACTTCCCTGCCCTCTGCACCTGTTTCCTGCCACCTGGGGGTCTCTGGGTTTGGTTGGGCAGTGGGAAGCCCCAGTCCCACACAGAGCTCCAGAGCCCGGCTCAGACAGCCAGCAGCTTGGGGACACCCTGCTCTGGGCTCAGCTCCCCTCTGAGCCTCCTCCTGGAGCAGGTGCTGCTTCCCCGTGGTCTGGAGTCATGAGCCACCACCCAAGCGTCCTTCTGAGCAGCCCCAGTTCTCCCCAGACACCAGCTTTCCACACCAGCAGGGCCCAGCCGCGTGGGCAGCTTCCTACATGTCCCCTGCCATGGCCCAGCAGGCTGGAGTGGGGCTCCAGATACGGAGCTGAAGGCTGGGCTCCTGAGAGTGTGGTCTGCCCCGGCCTCCAGGCCATCCAGATGGAGTCTCCCTGTCCTTGCATTTGGCTCCTTAAGAAGGGACTCAAGCTTTCCATTCCCACTGCCTGGGGCCCGTTCCCAGGGCAGCTGACTCAGCGACTATGAACAGACACTGGTGCTGGGCGGGGTGCGTTTCCTGGTCCTCCAAGCAGCCCTGGCCCCCATCTGGGAGGTTTCCTGGGCAGCAGGCTCTGGGGAGGGTTTCAGGCTGTGCTCTGATGCAAAGGGAGGGATGGGGCCGACTCCTCCTCACCCTGGGGGGTGGCCCCCCACCCGGCCTTGCAGCTCTCCCTTGAGCTGCCCTGCAGGTGGGTAGGTGTTGAACAAGCACATGAGGGTAGTCTGGTCCCTATTCAGAGGGCAGTCTGGGGAGGCGGAGGGAACCCTGGGGTGGGGACAGGGGCCTGGGGGGTGGCGGGGGCTGGGTCCCCGTGAGGCCAGGGCTGGTGGGAAGCACCCCAGGCCCTGGGGAGGGGAGGAGCCTAGTAACTTTTTCTGGGAAGGAAGGACCAACTCTCTCTTTTTAACCTTTTATTTTGGAGCACTGGAGATTCACAGGCAGGTGTGAGAATGAATGCAGAGAGCTCCCGGTCCCCCTCGTCCACTCTCCTGATGCCGACTTCCTGCAGGGCCGTGGGGCAGCATGCCACCCTCACCCATGCTGCAGTGGGTACCCCCCACCGTTGCAGATTCTCTGTCCTTCCTGCCGGGCACCCATGTCCGCCGCTGCCCAGAGCCTCCGGCCCCTGAGAGCCCTGCCCTTCCCCAGGGCCTCTCCCGCCACTGCCCCCTGAGATGGCTGCGGTTTTGTCACTGGGAGACCGAGCCTTGGAGGTTGGCTGCTTTCACTCAGCCTGACTCCCTGGAGGCCCATCTGTGCGGTGTCTGGTGTGTGGCTCGACCACACTTTGTTCAGCTGCTGGCCTGCAGGGAGCCCCGGGCTGTCACAGTTGGGGGACGCTGGACAGAGCTGCCCAGAGGTCGTGGTGTGGACATGATCTCACGTCTCTTGGGTGGATGCCCAGTGGACAGTCAACTCTTAACCCATGAAGCAACTGTGGGCTGCTCAGGACCTCCCAGTGAACCCACCAAGAGTTGAGGTGAAGGCAGGGGTCACTGGTATCGGAAGGGAATGGAGAGGCTCATGGCCTGGTTGACGACCTTGGGGACCCCTCCCCCCAAACTTCACAGACCCCCATCAGAGGGGCCTGCAGGCTCCTGCTTCTCAGAAGAGATGCTCTGGTGGGTCAGTCCCTGCAGGAGGAGGGGGTGAGCTTACGGGGGCCAGGCTGTTTCCTGAGAGGGAAGGTCAGCTGGAGAAGGAGCCTGTGTGTGGTGGACAGTCCCTGCCCACCCCCCACCCCCAACAATACGTCTGCCCTCAGATCTCAGCGTCCAGAACCTGGGAACGGGATCTTGTTTAGGGAAGAGCTCTCTGTAGAGGGAATGAGGGTGAGGATCTTGAGATGAGGTTGTCTTGGAGAAGGCCGGTGGTCCTCACTCCAACAACATGTCCTCAAAAGAAACCGAAGGAGAGAGACACAGACCCAGAGGAGCAGCAGTGCGACCAGGAGCTGAGACTGCGTGATGCGGCCACGGGCCGGGGGAGCTGGGAGAAGCAGGAGGGACCCTCCCTTGGAGCCTCCAGAGGGAGCTCAGCCTTGTTCATGCCTGGATTTCAGACTCTGGGCTCCAGAACTGCAAGAAGATGAACTGCTGCTCTCTGGGGCCCGGTTTGCAGCCCAGCATTACAGCCACCCCAGACCTGGAGGCAGGCGTGTTTGCCAAGCCTCCACCACCCCAGGAGGCTCCCTGTTTTGGGGGCGGGATGACCCTTGCATGCAGGGTGAGGGATGGGCTTGGAGAGGGGGCCCCCACCGTCCCTCTGGCTTCTTCTGCCACCCGGCCAGCCCCCAGCCGAGCTCACGCACCAGAAGGCCTGAATGGGCGCCTCTACCTCGTGTAACAGGGATCTGGGAAGACATCAGGTTCTCAGACAGGGACTGCCTGGGGTCCCCGCCCCACCCCAGGCCCTGGGCTCCTGTCCCCATCCCCCCATCCCCTTCAGTGCCTCGCTGGCCCAGGATGCTGGCATGGAAGGCAGTGATGCCTACTCTGGTTGCTGAAGGGGATGATCTTTTCTGGGCCAAGTCCATGTGATTTGCAGGCTTTGTTGAATCTGTCCAGGAAGCTGTATTTCAGCTCTGGGAACCGTCCTGTGGACAGAACAGTTTGGGCCGTGTGGGGAGGGGAGGCGAGGGGAAGGAGTGGCAAGATGGGGCACCTGGACGAGTTGGGCACCCGCCCCCTGATGCCACGGGATGCAGGCACCTCAGGGCGTGGCCAGACCCGCACCTCCCCGGGGAAGGGGCCGCAGGCAGGGATGAGGGGCCCCGGGACGCGGTACCGTAGAGCGCCAGCACTTGCGTGGCCGTCCCATTCCTGAAGTTCCGCATGTGCAAGATGACGTAACGCTGGTAGTCAGCCTCCAGGATCCGCAGGCTGTTCTCTCCCAGGTCTGCGCAGAAGCTCTGCTCAGAGCCTGCAGCCCCCGGGGCCCGCGGCACAGACTCTCGAGGGTGCAGGGGCCGGCGGGGACCCCTGATGCTCTAGAGCTCCCCACGCGCACGGCCCTGGCTGGCCCTCCCACCGCCCTTTACAGGCCAGGCCCGCTCCACTTGCTTTGGGGACGGCTGTCGGGGGTCCCATAAACCCCTGTATTGGGGCTCACTGGGAGTGGGGCTGTCAGACAAGGGTCCACTTACAGTTGATGGTGTATTCCCCGCTCTTGCCTGTTTCGCTGCAGACCACGGCCACGTCCGTGCACTCTGCATGCAACCTGGACCCCAGCGGGTGATGCTCGCAGCGCGACCTCACCCGACTGCATGTGACCAGCGCCCCCCACCCCTCCCCGCCCCGTCACCACGTCCGTGCACTCTGCATGCAACCTGGACCCCAGCGGGTGATGCTCGCAGCGCGACCTCACCCGACTGCATGTGACCAGCGCCCCCCACCCCTCCCCGCCCCGTCACCATGTCCGTGCACTCTGCATGCAACCTGGACCCCAGCGGGTGATGCTCGCAGCGCGACCTCACCCGACTGCATGTGACCAGCGCCCCCCGACCCCTCCCCGCCCCGTCACCACGTCCCCTGAACCCCTGCCCCAGCCTCAGCACTCTGCTGCCCCCCACCCGGTGGCCCCCTGCCCCACATACAGCGCCCCCCCACCCCCAGCTGGGCCAGACTCCCATCCACATGGGTGGGGGCGGGGGTGAGACTGCAGGGGGGCAGGGTGGGCGGGGGCCTCCGTGCTCCCCAGTTCCAGAGGATGGGGACATCACTCACATAAAGTGGAAACTGAGCTTGAGCCCACCATCCTCTACGACCTGAATGCTCTTTATGAAGATCCTCAGGTCTCCGCCTTCCTCTATCCGCTTCCTGTTGTCTGCGGCCATGGAGATGGAGTACCAGGTCCCAGAGACCTGGAGGGCAGAGGCTGCGGTGGGTGCAGGCGTCCTCACTTCTGGGTGCCTGCTCCCTCCCAGGGCCAGGCCTTGGGCATGCGGCTCCCACCCAGCCAGCCCTCTCTGCCGTCACAGCTGGGGGAGAGGGGCAGACCCCGAGGGACAGCAGCTTGTCACAGTGGGAGACCCCAGGTGCAGGCGCCCTGCATCCAGACGCCCGGGGAGGGCCCGGACTGCAGCCCCACCTTGGAAATGTCATAGTTCGTCTGCACGATGCGCTGGGTGTTGAAATCCTGGGCGCAGACCAGGCTCAGCCCCAGGCTCAGCAGGAGCAGCGCCATGCCCTCCAGTGGGTGGGCGCCCGGCCTGCCTGCTGCCCGCCGCCTTTATCCCCCTCCCTGCGCCGTGGTTTCCGGCTCCAGCGCTTCCGCGTCCTCCGCACGGGCCTCCGCTTCCTGGGAGCTCTGCCAAAAGCCGCCCCCGTCCTCCGCAGGCGACAGCTGGCTCTGACTGCCGCCCAGATGGGGGCCTGGCTGGGTCTGAAGTCGCAAAGGGAAGTGGGGACAGGTTGGTGTCTTGGCCTAAAGCCCTGCCAGCCACAGAGGTGGGTGGCGCTGGGGCCTCTCTGAGCCATCGGATGCAAGTGGCAGAAGACGGCACCCCTTCCAGCCCAGCCTGGCCTGGGCGCTCTAATTTCAGAGCTCTGAGGGGTCCTGGCAACCACGCGTGCAGGTCAGGGTCCTAAGCTTCGATGGACAGGTCCTCACTGCCCTGGTACATCCGGGCACAAGGCGGGCTGGTGGTCAGGGTGCAGGCTGAGCTGGACCAACTGGGGCAACAGGCGCTAAGTCCTATTTTAGAGAACAGACACAGTTTATGTGTTGATATAATTTTTTTTTAATTGAACACCTACTATGTCCAGGCTCTAGGATTAGAGTGAAGCACCGATTCTCAGGAGGGCCATGCTCCAAGGGGGCATGCTAACACTAGACAAACAGCAAATGACAAGCAGGGGTCTCACCAGCCCCCCTTGGCCCACTTCCTAACCCCGCAGTCGCTGGCCTTCCCTGCCTCTCTGGACAAGCCGAGCCCAACCCCTACATGGAAACCTTCCTGCTCAGTGGGGTTCCTGCATCAGCCACCTGTGACTCATTCCTGTTTTCTGGGCTTGCCCGGCCTGCCCTGGCCGGACCTCCAGCCTCCGGTAGCCGCTCCCCATCCTCATGAGGACAGGGGATGGTGGGGACAGAGCTGGTGCCTCTGGTCCACGAGCCAGATTCCTGGAGGCCGGGCGGGAGGCACTGCTTCACAGAAGCGCTCTTTGCACACCGACAGCCCCCAGGATCTGGTTGGAAGGTCACAGGCTCTGTCACCGAGGACGGCTGTGACCACAACACGGCTCTGACATGCCTCCCGGGGTCAGGGCGTCTATGACCCCACAGGACAAGCAGGGGGCTCGGTGCTTCAGCGCTGGGGCCCTGTGACTCTGTCTAGGGTGATGCCTGCTTGAAGGGCCCTCCAGGGCTGCTGGAAGGGGCTGGATTCTTGAGCCTGGGAGAGGAGCGTCCACGGCCTGTCTCCACCCCCCTCACCCCTGTGCCTGCCTGGTCACCTTCCCATCCAGATGCAGCCATGGATGTTCGGCTCCAGGAACAATGACAGACATGGACACCCAAGTACCTACACAAACACATGCACATGTGTCAAAGCATACACATGCACACTCATGTGTGTGTGCACACACGGCCCCATCCCACACCCCAGAGGCTTTAACGCATCTGACAGATCTTATAACCTGAAGTGTGTTATTTCTATAATCAGAAAGATGTACTTAAAAAATATGCTGACAAGCAAAGGGTTTGCTCTCCCCGGGGGAGTCCACAGCCTGGAGATGAGGGAGGAGAGGGCCGCTCTTCTCTAACACAGTCATGAACAGACTACTTAAAACTCCTCCCTGAAAAGTCAGGCTCTAGGAAGCAGGGAGGGATGACAGAGGAAGTGAGATGCAAAAGAGAATTTAAAGTAAGAAACTCCCCTGTTGGTCCCATGGTTCAGAAACTGCCTTTCAAGGCAGGAGAGGTGGGTTTGATCCCTGGCTGGGAAACTAAGATCCCACCTGCCCTGGAGCAACTAAGCTTGTGCGCTGCAACTCCTGAGCCCATATGATGCAACTAAAGAGTCCGTGCGCTGCAGTGAGAGATTTCGCACGATGCAACGAAGATCTATCATGCCACAAGTAAGACCTGATGGAACTAAATAAATAAATATTTAAAAAAATACCCTTTAGTTTTTCAAACAGGACAAAGTCCTGTCGTCTGGCAACCCTGAGGAGCCCCAGGCAGCAGAGGCATCATTGTGACCCCAACTTTCTGGGGCTTACATCATCAAAGGGGGTGCTGACATCACCACCCACGGAAGGCTCAACACCCCTCGAGCCTACCTTGGTGTCTAGCCTGGGACTCTACAAAGAGAGACCCAAAGAGAGACGCTTGAAGAGCATCCAACCCGGTGAGCTGCCTCGGCACCTGCCTCGGGAGTGTTGTCCCTGAGACACTGTGTTGGAGAACCACACCCCCCCCCCGCCCCCCGAGTGGTACCCTGCCCATATAGCATTGCTAATATGCTTGGGTTCACGGGGGTGGGGGTGGGAGAGGCAGTGCCATGTTGTGGGGCAGTGGAAGCCTGGCCGGTGTCCAGCTGGGGTACAACCAGCCTTTGCTGGTTTTCAAAGTAGGAGATCAAAAGAAATAGACAGAGGACATTTCGTCATACATTTGTGCTTAGGTCAGTAAACCCGTGTAATCGTTATGAATTTACTGATGAGATAAAGTTCTTTCCTTTGTCTTTAAAGCCTAGTCTCTTTTGTGCGCTCGTAGCATATCTCAACAAAGGTCCGTCTAGTCAAGGCTATGGTTTTTTCAGTAATCATGTATGGATGTGAGAGTTGGACTATAAAGAAAGCTGAGCGCAGAAGAATGGATGCTTTTGAACTGTGGTGTTGGAGAAGACTCTTGAGAGTCCCTTGGACTGCAAGGAGATCCAACCAGTCCATCATAAAGGAGGACTGTTCATTGGGAGGACTGATGCTGAAGCTGAAACTCCAATACTTAGGACACCTGATGCGAAGAGCTGACTTATTTGAAAAGATCCTGATGCTGGGAAAGATTGAGGGCAGGAGGAAAAGGGGACGACAGAGGATGAGATGGTTGGATGGCATCACCGACTCGATGGACATGGGTTTGGGTGGACTCCGGGAGCTGGTGATGGACAGGGAGGCCTGGTGTGCTGCGGTTTATGGGGTTGCAAAGAGTCAGACATGACCGAGCGACTGAACTGAACTGAGCACATCTCAAGTCAGACCAGCCACATTTCACGTGCTTGACAGCCACACGTGGCCCCTCTCCTGGTCCGTGCAAGCTAAGGCTGCATGCTGGCTAACCAGGTGCTGGCAATGAAATATCAGCATCTCCATTCTGCCCAGTGCATAGCGCATAGCCCTGCAGACATGCGCACACTGACCCCGCGTAGAACACGTGACATAAACCCCGGTGCTGGCTAGAGCCAAAGTTTCCGTGTTAGCACCTGGCGCCTTTCGTTCAGGTTTTAATCCCCGATCCAACGTCTGTCTGGAAAAGGCTCACGTGTTCTTAGCCTGCTGTAGTCTTGGGGCAAATGGTGCATCTTACTATCTCTAGGGGAGAAGGAGGGAGAGGTCGACTTTGGGGGCGGACTGCATCCTCGCCACAACCTCACTTTGCTGTTACTGCTCTCGAGTGGAGACTCCGTCACACATCTTTTACGAAGCCAAGGTGGACATTGATAAGGCCCAGGGGTATCCAAGACGGCACTCAGTCCCCAAAGGAGTGGCCAGCACCCCTAGGAGACCCTAGCGGAGAAGGGATGTCCCTGTCTCCCCACCCTTTCCCCAGGGCTGAGCATCCTGGGACCAGACGCCTGGGTTGGTGCCCCAGTGTGTCTGAATGAGTCCATGAGTCCGTCATCGGGAGGCGGCAGAAGTTTTCAACTCTGTTTAAAACTGATTTCTCTCTCCTTCTCCTCTAGAAGACAATGAACTGTAAAAGGAAAATGCTGCTGTTGATTCTGGGTCTTTCATTGTTCCTGTTGTTTGATCATTATTCCAGGTAAATAGAAAATCTCAGTGAATCGACACCTGCAGTGCTTGGCAGAGCTCAAAACCTCTTGAGTTTTGTTCAAAGCTGTTAATAACACTTTTGAAATGAGTCAGCTGTTACCTCCCCTCTCTGTGGGACCAAGCAAAGTATACTTTCATTCTTTCATTTTTAAACGTTCAACACGTGGTGATCAAGCCCTATCTGGGCCCCAGGTTCTGGCCTCGGTGCTCAAGGAGCCGTGGTAATAGGGGGAGAAGGTCCCAGGGGGAGGAGGCAGAGCAAATGGAACACAGTGTCGGGATAACTTTAGAAACTATTTATTTATTTGGTCACGCTGGGTCTTAGTTGCAGCACTCAGGATCTTTGATCTTCACTGTGGCATGCGGGATCTTTAGTTGCAACATGCAAACCCTTAGTTGTGGCAAGTGGGATCTAGTTCCCTGACCTGGGATCAAACCCAGGCCCCCTGAACTGGAACTGCAGTGTCTTAGCCACTGGACCACCAAGGAAGTCCCTGGGATAGCCTATTTTACATGATTAAGGTCACCAAGAAAAACTAAAATGAAGTCATAGCACTGAGTTGCTATTTCAGACAAACTGTAAATGGTCCCAAAGTTCCATCTTGTTCTGACATAAACAAGACAGTGGTGACCTGCCCTGGTAGCCTGTGTGGGCCAGGGATGTATCTGGGCCCAGCGCAGTTTCTCACGGAGAAAAATGCGAATTCTTCCTTCCTCTGTGCCCATGCCTCGTGGGCTCCTTCATGAGCAGTGCAAACTTTCCAGATGCCATTTGAAAAGCAGTCTTATCATGAGAGACAATGTCTTTAAAAACAAAACCTTTGCAAAATGCAGATCTGACAAAAAGGCTTGTATCCAAAATATGCAAAGATCTCTTAAAACTCAACAACAAGGAAAAGAAAAACTTCATTAAAATGGGCAAAATCTGGACAGACATCTCACCCAAGAAGACATAAAGATAGCAAGCGGGCATCTAAAAACATGCTGGACATCATTTGTCATTAGATAATTGGGCTTCCCTGGTAGCTCAGCTGGTGAAGAATCCGCCTGCAATGCAGGAGACCCTGGTTTGATTCCTGGGTTGGGCAGCTCCCCTGGAGAAGGGGAGCTACTCACTCCAGTATTCTGGCCTGGAGAATTCCATGGACTGTTTAGCCCATGGGGTCACACAGAGTCAGACACAACTGAACAACTTTCACTTTCAGTTGCAAATTAAGACAACAACCACAGCTGTGTGGTATAGCCACGTTGAAGACAGCGTGATGGCGTCTTACAAAGCTAAATATGGTCTTTCCGGTGATCCAGCTTTGGTGTTCTTAAGTATCATTAATCCAAGTAATTTGAAAGCGTATGTTCACAAACAGCCCACATAAGGCTTCATAGCAGCTTTATTCACAATGTCTAAGCACTCAAGATGTCCTACAGTAGATGAATGGGTAAATAAACTGTGGTGCATTCAGATAAATGAATACGATTCAACGATAAAAAGAAACAAGCTATCAAGCCAGGAAAAGACACAGAGGAAATGTCAGTACACATTGGTAAGGGAAAGACGCCAGAAGCCAATCTGAAAAGACTACCTACTGTATGGTTCCAGCCACATGAAATTCTGGAAAAGGCGAAACTGCAGAGACAGTAAAGGGGTCAGGCGTCTGGGGGTTTGGGGAGCAGTGGGTGGACAAGCACCGAAGATGTGGGGGCAGTGGAGCTGCTTATGGTGGACCCGTGGGACTATACCTTTTCCAAAACCTGAAGAATTTTCTAGCACAAAGAGTGAATCTTAACCTAGACAAATTCAACTCTCATTTAGGAAGTTGAGGGAATCCCAGGAAGTATTGCTGTATGTGACCAGGAGCATCGAACTGTACCAAACACGCCAGAAGCAAGCTCCCCGAGGGCTGAGGAAGGTGCCGAGAGAAGTCGCCTGGGAACCAGTGGAGTCTGCAATTTGTTGTTGCCCAGTTGCTCAGTTGTGTCTGACTCTTTGTGACCCCATGGACTGCAGCACGCCAGGCTTCCCTGTCCTTCACCAACTCCTGGCATCTGCTTAAATTCATGTCCATTGAGTCGGTGATGCCATCCAACCACCTCATCCTCTGTCGTCCCCTTCTCCTCCTGCCCTCAATCTTTCCCAGCATCAGGATCTTTTCCAATGAGTTGGCTCAGCTCTTCGGAGTCTGTAAACATAATGGGAAGATCAGCCACGCAGGGGACTGTCTCTAGTGGATAACATCATTTCCCCACAGGAGGGCAGGACAGCAGCTCTGATGCCAGTGTGCGTGCGTCTGGGGACGGAACAGTTGTGTGAGTGGACAGTGAGTGACAGTGCCTGGGTAATCGGGGGACAGTTAGGTGATCCCTGCTGTGACGCATTAAAGCTGGTGAAGCTACTCACGGGTAGCTTCGTAGAGCCGGGGAGAGTTACCTGGGGAACTATTTCCAGATTCATGCCTCTGTGCCAGCTGGCACAACCACACACGTGCCTTCCCTGCTTGCCCAGCCGCGAGGACCTAGAAGCGAGGAGCCCGCGGGAGCAGCCAGCACACCCAGCCCCTGGCCTTGATTTCTAATGTTATTCTACGAAACAAAGCAGAACGTCAGGCCAGGCTTCCTTGGAGATGTGGCTGTTTCTAGGACCGGGGACAGAACGTGTACAGGATGAGCCTGGAGCAGAGGAACACAGGAGCCAGTGAAAGGGCTTCCGGTGGATAAAGCTGGAGGAATCTGAGCAAGAAAAGGAAGTTGTATTGGGTTATATCCCAAAGCACAAAGCAGATCTTCCTGAGTGCACACCGATATAAATAAATCAACAAGTACCTAGATGACAGGGAAGAGACAATACCGTTCATAAGAATCCCGAGTAACTGATGGAGATACTGACCTCCCGGAGGCAGAGTGCATGGGCTGCCGTAGCACTTCCCTACGAAGATTACAGTAAGGATTTTAAGTGAAGTCGCTCAGTCGTGTCCGACTCTTTGCAACCCCATGGCCCAGGCTCCTCCGCCCATGGAATTTTCCAGGCAAGAGTACTGGAGTGGGTTGCCATTTCCTTCTCCACAGGATCTTCCCAACCCAGGGATCGAACCTGGGTCTCCCACATTGCGGGCAGATGCATTACCAGCTGAGCCCCCAGGGAAGCGAGAGTCGCTTGACAGCGGAGGAGCCTGAAAACACGACCTCGGCTGGGTGGTCGAGGCCCCTTAGGCGGGACAGGGCATGCTGTGGTATGAGAAACGCAGCCAGGAGGACCCCAGGCAGACGTGCGTCGGGTGGGTCCTGGAGAGGATCCTGGGGACAGAAGAAGGGCTTTGGGGACAAGCTGAGGAAATCTGATGGAAGCAAGGAGTTGAGTTCATAATGGGGTCCCCCTTGGATTCACCAACAGCAACGGACACCCAGTACAAATCCAAGCTGTCGATGATGTGGGGGCCGGGTGCAGGGGCGTCCAGGGACCATCTTCACAATGTTTGCTATGAAATTGCTCTAAAAATAAAGTTCATTTTAAAAGGAGGGGACTCAATGTCCATCAACAGATGATGGATCAAGAAGGTATGGTGCATGTATACAAAGGAATTAGAGAGTGTTTAGTTGTTCAGTCTTGTCTGACTCTTTGCGACACTTTGGACTGCAGCCTGCAAGGCTCCTCTGTCCGTGGGATTTTTCAGGCAGGAAAATGGAGTGGTTTGCCATTTCCTTCTCCAAAGGAATATTACTCAGCTGTGAAAAAGAAAACAAAATGATGCCATTTTCAGCAATTGGATGGATCTGGGGACTATCATACTGAGTGAAATAAGTCAGATATTAAATGACAAATATCATGTAATGTCACTTGTATGGTGAATCTAAAAAAAAAAAAACAATACAAATGAACTTACTTGCAAAGCAGAAACAGATTCTCAGACTTAGAAAACAAATTTATGGTTACCAGGGAGGAAGGGTTGGGGAGTAGAGGTAGATTGGGAGACTGGGACTGACGTGGACACAGTGCTATACACAAAATCGGCGACCAACAAAGGCCTTCTGTAGAGCGCAGGGAACCCTGCTCAATATTCTGTAACAATCCAGAAAGGAGAATTTGAAAACGAATAGATACAAGTATATGACTAACTCAATCACTTTGCTGTGTGCCTGAAACTAACACACATTGTTAATCAACTCTACTCCAACATAAAAATGAATAAAAGAAGGGGCAATAAAGAAAAATAAATGAATAATGTAAAATCAAGGCAGAAAAAATTAACCCCAGTGCTTTGGTGTCACGCCTTGTCTGTCTTTCAGTGGCATTTTACCTCCAGGAGAGGACTGGGTGTTGAGACCATTCCTTTGGAGCCACAGTGATGGGCCCTTCTCTGCAGAAAGGAATGCACACCTGTCCACAGTGTGAATTTTGTCACGTTCCCACAACTGTAAAATGATGCCTGGCATGTAGTAGGTGCCCGGTCATCATATGGCTAAAAAGGGCACATAAATGGATCTGAATTCTTAAAAGTTTTGTCATTTAAATTTCACAATAGGTCTGTGTTCAAATTCAAAATGTAAATGATTTTTCCCATTGATCTGAAGGATCAATCATTTGCTGGGGGGCTGACAAATTTAGCAAATAAAAACATGGAATGCTCAGTTGCATTCAAATTTCTAATAGTGAATCCTTTTTAGCTGTGATTTCCCCAAACGATACGTGGGACATAGTTACACGAAAACATGTGCTGCTTCTCTTAAGCTCACAATGAATGTGGGTCCTGCAGTTGCCAGGCAGACCCCCGTCGGGAAGAGGCTTCTCTGCCAGCAAGAATCTTCATTGTGTGAAGATTCTACAGACTGGAGGGCAGAGTGGGCAGGAGCCAGGAGGTTCCTATGATGGAAGAACCAGGAGGAAGAGGAAGCCAAACATGGACCTTCTTGGAGGCAACTGCTATCAACTGCTATTGATTTCTTTGCTCATTGACTCTGAAGTGTTTTGAACACATGCACATCTACATGTTGACTAGCTTGTGTGTGCCGTGTGTGTACAGATGTGAGAGTTGGATCATAAAGATGGCTTGTGCATGCTAAGTCATTTCAGTCATGTCCGAGTGTTTGTGACCGAAGTGGACAGTAGCCCGCCAGGCTCCTCTGTTCATGGGATTCTCCAGGCAAGAATACTGGAGTGGGTTGCCATGCTCTTCAGGGGATCTTCCAAATCCAGGCATCAAACCTGCATCTCTTCTGTCTCTTGCACTGGCAGGTGGGTTGTTCACCACTAGTGCTAACTGGGAAGCCAAAGAAGGCTTCAGTCAGTCAGTCAGTCAGTCAGTCAGTTCAGTCGCTCAGTCGTGTCCGACTCTTTGCGACCCCATGAATCGCAGCACGCCAGGCCTCCCCGTCCATCACCAACTCCCAGAGTTTACTCAAACTCATGTCCATCGAGTCGGTGATGCCATCCAGCCATCTTATCCTGTGTCGTCCCCTTCTCCTCCTGCCCCCAATCCCTCCCAGTATCAGGGTCTTTTCGAATGAGTCGACTCTTCACATGGGGTGGCCAAAGTATTGGAGTTTCAGCTTCAGCCTCAATCCTTCCAATGAACACCCAGGACTGATCTCCTTTAGGGTGGACTGGTTGGATCTCCTTGCAGTCCAAGGTACTCTCAAGAGTCTTCTCCAACACCATAGTTCAAAAGCATCAATTTTTCGGCTCTCGCGTCTAAGAATTTATATCTTCGAACTGTGGTGCTGGAGAAGACTCTTGAGAGTCTCTTGGACTGCAAGGAGATCCAATCAGTCCATCCTAAAGGAAATCAACCCTGGATATTCACTGGAAGGACTGATGCTGAAGCTGAAGCTCTAATACTTTGGCCACCTGATGCGAAGAGCTGACTCATTGGAAAAGACCCTGATACTGGGAAAGATTAAAGACAGGGGGAGAAGGGGACAACAGAAGATGAGATGATTAGATGGCATCACCGACTCGATGAACATGAATTTGAGCAAGCTTTGGGAGCTGGTGATGGACAGGGGAGCCTGGCGTGCTGTCATCCACGGGGTGGCAAGAGTTGGACACTTGCAACTTTTCTTTTCTGCCCCATGTCAGTGCTTTAGCTGGTGTGTAGCACGTGTGTAAGAGCAAGGACCCTGGTGTTGATCAAGGAAGAGGCAGGATGCCGGATGGTGACCCTGCACCACTTGCTTCACTGGGCAGCAGACCTGAGACGGCAGGTGGGGCGCCTCCAGTAGACAGCGGGGGAGGGGCTGCCTTTCGTCTGGACACAGCGCTAGCCTGCTGCTAGTTTCCCTCAGTCCTTTCCACAATCACACGCTCTTCCTTGCCTTCCTCCCTGGCCGTCATCTCCTTCCTCTGCACATCTCTCCCTTCCAAACGTAGGAAGATGTCTCCTCCCCAGGTGGCTGTCCCTGGTCCCAAATCTGGGCTGGACGTGCCGCGTTCAGCACTACGCTCCAAGCTCTGAGGCTCCCCTTGGCACCAGCCCCTGGGGCTTCTTTAGAGCCATCCCTCTGCCCCAGGCGCCCGGTGGGTGGGGGCCAGGGCTGTGGGTCCAGTGCTGTTGGACCAGCGCCTAACAGCACCTGCCACACTTCAAGGGCTCCGCAGATACTTGTTGAATGAATGCTTGACTCATAATAACTTGGTTTTCCCTTTGCATCCAGGAAAAATCAAGAAGAAGAACTTCAGCTCTCAGACTGGTTCAACCCCAGGTAAGGATGAAAATGTCTGCATGTGAACACACACACACACACACACACACCCATGCACACATGCACACAGACACAGACACACAGGAATCCAATCTGCAGTGATTAGGTTTTTTCTTTTTCCCCAATCACCGAATTACAGCCATCCTGGGAGGTTCCCAGTCCCTGGAGTTCATGCTGACCCACTCCACTTGTTGGAAGCTTCCTGATTTATTGAAAATTCTATGAACAGCTTCTCCTGATTTTGGCCTCAGCTCTCAGGGAAGGGTCCCGTCCCCTGTTGTGGTTCTGGGTATCTTGCTTCCTGATTACCTGTCATCATCCATTAGCCAATTCCCTTCTGGTTTTAGATTGTTTAGCTTGCGGCTCTTGCCAGGAACGCTCCAGTGACTAACTTTGTACATATTAATATACATTCTGACATTGTCTTGTGAGTTCATCTGTGGGGTAAATTCCCAAAACAGAATAATTAAGTCAAACAAGACAGATATTTAAATTTTTGTTTACATTATGCCTCTTTAAAAATTGAAAAAAATTTTTTTCACGACATGCTCACGGCCCAAACAACAGGAGCCACAGTGTCTGGCAGGCAGAAAGGGACTCAATAAGCCTTACCTGTTATCACTGTTATCACTCTGCTGCTGTTCCACCGGTTTCTCTTTTGTTCAACAGAAAACGCCCCGATGTGATCACCACCACGAGCTGGCTTGCTCCTGTCGTCTGGGAAGGCACTTTCAGCAGAGAGGCCCTGGAAAAACACTACAGAAAGCAGAATCTCACAACGGGCTTGGCCGTCTTTGCTACTGGCAGGTAGGGGTCGCCAAGCCTGTGCCGTCCTTTGTTTTGGAAAAATGCACACCATTATCCGTAGACCTCCCATCTCCCAAGGGTGATGCAACCGACCTCTGTAACCACTGTTTGTGGATGGCCTGTGCAAAACAGGATGTGGTTTTTCTCTCCTTCCTTGTTGTTCTTGTTCAGTTGCCAAGTCCCTCCTTACTCTGCAACCCCGTGGACTCTAGCCCGCCCAGCTCCTCTGTCCATGGGATTTCCCAGGCAAGAATACTGGAGTGGGTTGCCATTTCCTTCTCCAGGAAATCTTCCCGACTAGGGATCGAACCTGAGTCTCCTGTATCGCAGGCAGATTCTTTACCACGGGAGCCCCCTGTGAAGTCCTTCTCCTCCCTTAGCTGGATCATCAATACCACTTGGCTGTCTTTCCACTAATGTCCAGTTAGCTCTCACACTCCCTTTTTCCAACAGTCGTTCCAAAATTTCAGAGGCTTTTCTCAGACTCCCCAGCCCACTACCTCCCCCTTCCATAACCACTGCAGCTGAAATGCAAACCTGACCTCCTGCCTCCCTCCCTGGGAATGCTGCAGCGCTGACTCGACGCCTCCCATGTGGATGGTGTTTGGTGACGCCCGTCTGAAAACGTTTAGGGAGGCGAGCGTCCTCCTCTGCGCTGTGTGTTTCGCAGGCTTGCAGATCAGTACCTGGAGCTGTTCTTGCACTCGGCGAATAAGTACTTCCTGACCGGCTACAGAGTGATCTTCTACCTCATGGTGGACACCTTAGTCAGGCTGCCCCAGATCAGGTGGGGGCCCCTCCGACAGTTCAAAGTGTTCATCGTCACTGAGGACAGCTGGTGGGCCAACGCCGACCTTGTGCGCATGAAGAGCTTGGCCAAGCACATCATCTGGGACATCCAGGGCGAGGTCGACTTCCTCTTCAGCATGACCGTCACCCAGATCTTCCAGAACAACGTGGGCGTGGAGGTCCTGGGCGAGTCAGTGGCTCAGCTCCACGCCTGGTGGTACTTCAAGAACCGTGCAAGTTTCCCCTACGAGAGGAGGCCCAAGTCGGCAGCTTGCATCCCGTTTGGCCAGGGAGATTTCTACTATGATGGTGCATTCGTGGGGGGCACGCCCCTGGAGGTCCTGAACCTCGTGGAGGAGTACCTGAATGGCATCATCCACGACCTCAGACTCAGGTTGAACAGCACCTATGAGAAACACCTCAACAAATACTTCTTCCTCCGGAAGCCTGCCAAGCTCTTATCCCCAGAGTACAACTGGGACGCCGACTTCTACCCGCCGCCCCAGGTGCAGTATGTGAAGGTGGCCCAGCAGTCCAAAAGGAGACACTGACTCCCTGGGACCACAGGCCCCGCCAGCAATGGTTCCCCCTGGAAGGTGGGATACGTCCCAGGTTTGAGAGACACAGATGTTTATACTCACCCACAAGGCATTTTTCTCCCTGCAGTTGTGAGCCATCCAATTTGGCCACTGCAGGATAAAGAATAAAAGGGTGCTTATTGAATGTTTAACACATGATGTTAATATCTATACGTTGTAGATAACTCGGACATAATTGGAGGCACAAAATGAAATTTTTTTAATGGAGAAAAACTCTAGTTCAGAGAAAAAACCATATATATATACATTCATGGCTCTCAAGTCCGTGGGTCGGGGGTGCTTCTCAGGCTGGGGAGGCACATTGCTGTGTTTAAACGCCTGGAACCATCTCACCCTGTCCAGCTTGTGACTGGACGTGTGTGAACTAGAGACTTCCTACCAAATACATGTCTTTCTTTTATTGTTTACACAGAGAAGTGTCAAGTTCATTTCTAAAATCTCTCGGCATTTTATTCATTTCTGAGAAGACAGAGGCCGAGTGCAGGGGTGGAGGCAGATGTCAGCCAGGTCCAGGGAGGGTCCCGCGGGCCCGAGTCCTCAGGCAGCTGCAGGGCAGCGGGCAGATGCGACTCCGCGGCGCTCCCTTTGCATGTCCCAAAGGGCTTGATGCGGGCAGCTCGGAGCGCCGTGAGGCTCAGGATGGGAAAGCAGCCCCCACGGGTGGCGGGGAGGGGGCTGCCGTGGCTAGCCGAGGTTTGGTCTTGGCAGTGAGTGTGAGGCCCGGAGAATCCCGTGTCATAAGGAGGCAGCCGTCTTCCTCCTCCTTCTCTTGGCTGCACTGCGAGGCACGTGGGATTTTAGGCCCCCGACCAGGGATTGAACCTGTATCTTCTTCACGGGAAGTGCGGACCTCCAGATGGCCAGGCATTCTTCTTAATGAACCCTCTTTCCTGGGAGAGGAAGCAGGCCGCGTAAGTGTGAAGGCCAGTATTGTCCTCCCCCCAGTTCTTACGTGGAGTCCTAGTCCCCAGGACCTCAGACCATGACCGACACGGAGAAAGGCCTTTACAGAGATGACCGAGGCAAAATGAGGTCACCAGGGAGGGTCCTCGTCCAGCAGGACCAGTGACCCTACCGGAGAGGGAACTGGGGCCCTGACGCGCCCAGGACAGAGGGGAGGTGAAGCGAGGACACGCCCGGGAGAGAGGCCTCCTCCACCGCGGACGTCCGGCCCTCAGAGCTGGGAGAAGGGCTCTTCTGTTCTTTAAGACCCCGGTCTGTGGCAAAGCAATACAGTGCTCGTTCCAAAAGTCGTCACGATTGAAACACTAAAACCGTAAGAAGATTGACACTCACTCCTGGAGTGGAAGCCAGAGGCCATGGAAAGGTAGGTGGCGTGAGGAAGACACTCGCTGATGTTCCGCCCTGGAGTGAGAAGCCCTGTCTGCGATCCTGTTATGTCCACCACCCCTCCCGGGATGCCTCTCATCGGGACGGTTTCCCTAAAGAACACACTGGCCAAGGTGTAGCTCATCCTAGAGGGCTTCCCTGGTGGTGCAGTGGTGAAGAGTCCTGCTGGTGCAGGAGATGCCAGTTCGATCCCTGGGTGGGGAAGACCCCCCGGAGGAGAGCATGGTAACCCACTCTGTGCTCTTGCCTGGAGAATCCCACGGACAGAGGAGCCTGGCAGGCTACCGTCCATGGTTCGCAAAGACTCAGACACGACTTAGCAACTCAGCAACAGCAACAACAAGTTCCTTCTACTTTTTCTCTCTCAGTTGTCCCCTTTGGCTAAATCACGATGCTGTTTTCAGTGATTCATCCTTTCTTATATCACAGAGCACCTCTTGATTTTATTTTAAAAATCTATAAAACTATTTCAAAACAAAGTATGATATTCCATTAGCCACAAGCCCTACCTCACAAAGATCACTCTCAGCTCTCCTAGGTCATACCTAGAGAGCGGAGGGTGTGATTTAGCTACTGCGCTGAAACCAACAGACAGACAAAAACTAACTTTCTTCCCCCCTGACAATTTACGGAGAAGGCTAGGGGACTTACTGAGAAGGGTTCTAAACTTCTACCTTGAAAGATATTGTGGGATCAATATGAAAGCACTGTAAATTCCCTGGTAATGAAAGATTTTTGATGCCTAGAATTTCCAGGTCCAAGAACAACCTTGTTTAAAGGACTCATGCAAACAGGTCACCCCTAATGACATTTTGCATTTCCATCCCCCTAGCAAAAGTATGCTTCCCCACATGGTGGGTGCTGAGTTAAATTTTTAAAAAATTTTGCTAATTTGATAAGCAAACAGAGAATCTTTTTCTTGGATGGCTTGGGACGTCAAATCCTATTTTTTTTTTAAAGTTTTTAAGCTATAGATGCTTTATTTTAAAAATTAAAATAAAAATTTTTTTTTGGTCATACCACAAGGCATGTTGGGGGTCTCATTTCCCCAACCAGGAATTGAACCCGAGCCCCCAGAAAGAAGCTTGGTGCCCTAGCCACTGGACCACTAGGGACCACTGTCAACCCTTCTTTTAAACTATAGTCATGAGCCATTTGACCTGGAGGAGGAAATGTCAACCCACTCCAGTATTCTTACCTAGAGAATCCTGTGGACAGAGGAGCCTGGTGGGCTGGAATCCATGGGGTCTCAAAGAGTCAGACACGACCGAGGCGACTTTGCACACATCAGTCATTTGATTCACGTGTGTACAAGTGACCGATTTCTGTCTTTGGCTCGCTTTTCTAACATGACGTTCCTTCTTTCTCAGTGAGTTTGTAATGTGATGTAAACCCTCTGTCAAATGCGCTGAAAATACTCATTTCAAGTTGCCACTCCTGTTTCAGTTTTGTCAATAGTGCTTTTGCGATTCCAAAGTTTGTTTTCATAATTATATTGATATTTGGAGAAGGAAATGGCAACCCACTCCAGTACTCTTGCCTGGAGAATCTCATGGAGGGAGGAGCCTGGTAGGCTACAGTCCATGGGGTCGCAAAGAGTCGGACACGACTGAGCAACTTCACTCACTTTGTATCCATAGGGTAGGTATCTCATCCCTTAGTTATAGATATTATAGAACTTTCAAGATTTCATTAAGAATTAACCAAAAATTAATTTTAAGATAATGTGCAGAGTTAGATATATAACGCTATCTTTTTCCCTCAAAATATCTTGGTCATTTCTCCCACACTTCTTGTTGGAGTCTGCTTGCCAGTGCAGGAGAAGCAGGAGAGGAGGGTTGGATCCCTAGGTCAGGAAGATCTGGAGTGGGAAACGGCAACGTGCTCCAGTAGTTTTGCCTGGAAAATCCCAGAGGAGCCTGGCGGGCTACAGTGGTCCATGGGTGGCAGCGTGAGACACCACTGAGTGACTGAAGGAAGTGTGCGTACACACACACACACACACACACACACACACACGTTGAACAAATAATACTTTTTAAGATGGGCCATTTGTATAACATATTAAGTTATTGTACTGACTTGTGTTCATTTATTGACTTTATATCCAGTTTTACTGATTCTTCTTCCTGTCTCCCAGCTAAAGCCACGCATTTTCAGTCATTGTAGTTTCCTATTAGTTGTGGAAGAATGGTAGATCAACTTGCATTAGTCTTCTCTCTAAAATATTTCAAAACATTAATTTCTTCATGTGGCTTTTAGATTCAGGTATGCAATTTGAGGGACTATCCCACTGAAATATTGATTAAATTGTTTGAACTGTATAGGTTAGTTTAAACTTATTAAATATTTATGACACTGAAGACTTTGCAAGAATATCATGCTTGTATTTGTTCAGGTCATTTTTCTCAATGTCCCAGCATGAGAATTTTTTTAACATGATTTTAACGTGCCCCCTGTCCTTTTCTTAGTGGGTTGCTGGTCTGTAAGAAAGCTACTGCGCTCTGAGCACCTGTTCTCCACCCCACCCCTTGCATGAGCGGCGGGTAGGTCCACACAGGCGGCCGGCGGAGCCCCTGCCACGGTGCCGTCCCAGCGCAGTGACCATGGTGGGAGCCGCCCTCCAGCGGTGTGGCCTCCCGGGAGGCCTTGCTGTTGCCAAGGGTATTTCTGAGGCTGGATCCGGTCACGCCTGCCTCTGGCAGTTCCAGGCGGTTAGCACCAAGGCCCTGACCCAGTTTCCTAGGAGCCGGCCTTGCTGGCAGGCGGCCGCTGGCTCCCCTGGGGTGAGGAGGGGGCATTCAGTCCAGGCACTTGGAGAGGGGAGGGCCAGGCAGTCTCGGCTCCCTTCTGCGGCAGATGCACGGGACTGGGCTCACCCGGCTCTTCCGGGAGCCGGGGCTGGCGCCGTGGCCCCTCCGGGCGGGGCAGGCACAGGGGCGCGCGCCCCTGCGGTCCGGAGCCTGACGGACGCGCAGGCCGGACGGCCAGCGCCAGCCCCGCCCTGCCCGGGGTCACCGTCCGTGAAGGACCGTGCGCTGGCTCCGTCCGCCGGACAGCTACGCTGTGTCCGCGTCGGTGGGGACTCAGGGGCCGCCTGCCACCCCTCCCAACACCCAGAGTGTCTTCAAGCTTGTGGGCCAAGCTGGGAGAGGCTGCGGCCTGTGAGCTGTTGGTTGGCAGGACCTGGTGGCCCACAGCAAGGGAGGGGTGAGCTCGGGGTCGAGGGGGGCTTCCTAGGGGGGCAGAGGGGTTCAGAAAGCCCCTGGGCCAGCCGGGTGCAGGGGGAGGGGAGGGGGGCGAGGACAGTGGGCAGGAGGGGCCTGGCAGGAAGATCTGGGGTGTGGGTGTCAAGCTAGGCTTCATTTGGCAAGCACGGGGCTGTGGAGGGTCAAGAACGAGGTCAGACTCTATGGCCTCCTTCGTTCGTTCTGAAGACCACCCATCAATCAAGCACAGGGCACGCAACCACCGCGACCACCTCGTCTTCTGCTGTCCAGCTCCACTTCTGGCCATGGCCCCCTGCCCCGAGATGACCCACAAGACTCCACAACCCCACCTACTCCTTGGCTCTCCTTCCCCTTCCCATCTGCACCTCCACG